ACTGTAAAACATCTGCCTGTAGATATGACACCAAATCCCTCCCCTAGATGCAAAACAGCTAAACACCAAATACCGAAGTGAATTCTAGAAACAGCCAGAGGAAAAAAAACAAAGAATTAGCATTGCAAAGCTAGCAAAGCCTCAGTTACTGTAGAAGGGGAAACAAACAGCCAGAGAGGCAGAACTGGACCAGACGGTGTGTCAGATGCTATACCAACACTGGATACGTTCTATCACGTCCCAGCTTGCTGAGGGTGCACTCTGTCCCATCAGCAAGCTTACTAATGAAGATGTTAAACATCACTGGCCCCAGTCAAGCATGACTGCTGGAGTATATCAGTAGTGACTGGCCTCCAGCTGGACTTGGTGCCACTAACCACAGTCCTTTAAGCCCAACACTTCAGCCAGATCTCAATCCACTTCACTGCCTACTTACCTAGCCCAGAATTCCTCAGTTTGACAACCAAGATGTTATGGCAGACAGTGCCAAAGTCTTGCTAAAGTCAAGATAAAAAAATTGTCACCGCTATTGTTTAATCAATGTCAAATATATCCTAAACCTCTAACCCTTTTGTTCTTCAGTATATACCTAGACCATTTTTTAACTATACCATGATAAATCTTGTGAACTCTAGCCATTACAAGCTGATAACCAAGTTACTAGAAAACCTTTGTCAAACATATATACACATGCAGAAGCAAGTGCAATACCACCATAGTTTCATGTCTCTAACACACCTCTTTCAATGCATCAGTGCTTTAAACACAGAGAGGCAAGAAGAATGAGGACTGGAGTGGGAGGTAAAGGGAAATCTCTGGGATACACCTCTTGCATTATTTGCATATAAAACTCCACTGCAATTCAGTCTCATATTACTTTCTGCAGGCAACAGTACAGACATGAACTGGTAGTTGTGGACCAAACATGGAGATCTTAGAAGATGTTTAGAGAGCCAGGAAGTCATGAATTTCAGAAGCTTTCAGGAGTTAAGGAAGACAGCATGTACATCAGCTCCATCTGACTCACACAAGCTTAGACCAATGCAGCAGAGTGATGAAGCATCACGTGATAATCTACTCAGCCTTTCTAGGGAAGAATCATAATCATTTAGAATGAAAAAAGCAAAAAAAAAAAAAAAAAAACCACAAACAACAAAAAACCAAAACACTAAATCTAATTACTCTCACCCTAGAGAAGTCTAGTGAAGATCTGGCAGAAGCCTGGAAAGACAGATCCTAAAGCAGCTTACACCTGTCCATGGGAAAGGCCTGACTAGAGCTATTTGCAGTAAAGGGCAGGAGTCTTCAAATACCACGCAATGTGACCTGGCAACAAACTGTAGAGTCCAGAAAGTGAATAAAGGTATTATACTATGCATAAAGACTTGTTTTGAAAGTTGTATTTTAAGTATGGCATTGTTATCCTAAAAAAAGGTCTGTGATCAAGCTGCTCTTATTTACCTGCAGTCAAGACTGATGGCTGGGCTGAATAACTTCCTTGCAGTCTAAGTTTAAAAAAAAAAGCATTAGGTCTTTTACACAACAGCTGAGAAGAAAAAAAAAAAAAAAAAAGAAAAAGAAAAAACTGTACAGGTTTTTTGCACATCAAATCCCATCAGACTGTCAAGTATGTGAAGAATTAAGAATTTTGTAAGTAACAACTATTAAAGGAGTTGAGTGAAACTTGCAGGAATATATGCCTCTCTGTTTTAAGCAGAAAACAACAGCAAGAAAATGCTGTGCCTGTGATCTCAGGAGAGAAAGTTGTGCGGGATTTTGGGGTGTTTTGGGGTTTTTTTGGTTTTTTTTGGTTTTTTTTTCAGTTTTATGGGCTTTTTTTTTAGTACAGTACTTGCTAGACAGGCAGACTTGGATACATCAGCAAAATAGCTGCTTGTTGCATTTTGTTTCTACTCCGCTCAAGCAAACAGAGCTCTGTTTACATGCTTTGTAAATAAACAAGACTTCACATACAGAAAAAAATCTCACAACCCTCAAATCATATAATCTATTTCTCTTCCTGAGAGAAACAACTTGGCAAAGCCTCAAGAATTAACTAGCTCTTGGGCTCTTATAGTAGAAATAATACATGCCAGGTTTCTGAATACAGATGTCAGATAGCCAAATATTGGCTAATATATGTTGTGGGTCTGTGTTTTTTGCCTGCTCAGCTACCTTGCAAAGGAATTGAGCAATCTCTTGATGTTGCAGGTCAAATTAAGGCCTGGCTTTCCTGTCCACCTTGGAGGCATCACTCCCCTTCTAAAATAGGATACATGCTTTTTGCCATTTTTAAACTGGCCCAGGAAACAGTTTTCGATTACTATGATGAGACAGCGCTTTTCTGGACCAGAATGCATAAAGGCAGGATGTCTATTCTGAGTTGGTTTATGCTCCAGAACTCCTTACTATTATTATGCATCCCTGTGCTTTTACCTCAAATAGGTTTTGCAGCAAGCACAGAGGACAAGCTCAGCAAAGTAGTGCCACTTGCTCGCGGTCACTGCTGAACTTTGCCCTCCCTAGATGCGTGAGCCTAACATTTCCAGCGGGTGTGAGCCCGAAGCCTAGAGTATATATTTAACACATTGTAAGGAGATACCTCACTTTTCCTTTCCAGAAATACAGGTCTACAAACCAAGAAGGAGTTACGTAGTAGACAAAACTGCAATACTAAATTTCCATGAGACTAATAAGTAGTAACAAAGTAATTGTACATTCTGTATCCTCAGCTGATCTCAATCTTTTGGATGCCCATGTCAGATAGCCAAAAATCCAGAGAGACCTAGATGCAGTTTTGACAGGTGCTACTGGGCCTCTGGGAGACTGATGTTAGGTTATCTGATTGAAGGCTAATCTTAATAGAAACAGATCCAGCAAGAATCAGCAGAAAAATAATAGGTAGAAAAACCCCAACCACCTCACCAGTGAAGACAGAGCACTTGAATCATCTACTCCCAAGACCATCAATTAGACCATATTCCTCAGTATGAAACCCACCAAGATGAGTCAAGGAGGGAACTCTCTCCCCAGAAACACTTTGAAAGCTAAAGGTTATTGCCTTAAGGGGTACAGGAGTTACTGTGGGATGCAGGGAAGAACAACATTTTGGGATTGTGTGAAAAATACCATGGGCCTATGAGAATAAGCAAGACATTATCAAATGTTTAGGGGAGGGCACTAAAGGCAGAGAAAGACAGAGATAAAAGGGGACAAGGGAGATATAAATATGGGAAGACATCAGGAGAAGAGGACAAATGGGGCAGGTCTAGTGCAAATGGGTGGCTGGTCAGTGCACTTGTCTGACTCAGCCCCGCCCTTGATCACAACAGTTTATCTTGTAGTCATTAAACCCTACTTCTGTTGTCTTTGTGGATGCACTTTCTATTCTGAGAGTGTATGTGTGAGCTCAGGGCAATGTCACGCCAGCCTGGCCAGCAAGCGGTTAAGAATCTAAGCACCAGCAACTGGAGAACACAAACCTCAGGGGCTTGTGGGTCTAGGTGCAAAGAACTGGGGGACACCAAAGCTTCAGCAACCACACAGACCATTTAAAACAGGCTACCAGGGCAGGCCTATAGCATGTGTGTGGACTTCTGTAAAAATTCCACTAGTGGACTTGTATCCCTGAGGAGCTGTAAAGGAGGAACAGGACTGGGCTGTCCATGAAGTTCCTGCCTGAGTATGTTTGTGTGGGTGCCAATAAAAGCACTGGTTGAAGCCTCTGTTGATGTGTGTGGTCAGCTGCACACACATTTTCTGTATGTGAGCACGTGTACAAGCACACACACTTATTGGGACCAAGCACCAGTCTCATTACTGGCTGGCTCTGGGGATACAACTGCAACAGTCCTGCACTTATCTAGTTAGCTGGGACAGGAGATATGCCCCTGGGACCCAAAGCCCTCCACATTTGGCTACTTCTGACAAGTGGCATAGCTAACAGGGCATACACCTTTAACAAGTTCCTTAGCAAAGCTATCAGTAACACTTTGAAGGTGAAGTGTATAAATTTTGCCTTAGATTCAAGTTCAAGGTAGTCTATGCTGCCTAGGCTGTCCTGGCACCTGCACTCCATGCAGTTTTGCCAAGGCATTTTGTAAACTACTGAGTATTTAAATTACAGTGGGGAAAAAAAATGTTTTGGCACTCTCAGGCACCATTCTACTTCAGTCGGTCCTCTGGTTTTTCCAATAGCCCTTGAAATTCCTATGTGCTAAACGCGTTTGGAAGGAATCTTGACTGGATCTTTCCTATGGGTTTTCTTTTCAAGTCGGGACTCAACCGTGCACCATTATAATGGAAGAGTAACAAAAATGAAGCAAAAAAAACAGATGAAACAAAGTATATATAAATTAAGTTACAGAAACATATTTAATAAGTTTGCCTTTGAGAAACTTGTAAACAGATCTCCATAAAGACCAACAGCACCTTTAAATCTTTTTATTAGTGGTCTCCACAAAAACATCATGCATTCTCTGGCAGCAGACTACAGCCAGAGTGTCTGAGAAATGGGGTCTACACCAATTCGTCTCATTAATCCACCTACAGGTATCAAAAATACTTTGAGATAGGGGATTTTTTTTTTTCCTTGACCACTGCTTCTTTCTTTTTAAGTTCTGCATTCTTTCACTTCTGTTGTAGAACAGAAGCATTCTGAAAAAGGATGTATCTTTTTTTTATTTGGCTTTCTACATTAATACTCTGAAATATTAATTAGGAAAGAGCCAAGTGAGACTTCAAACAAAGTATTATAAAGACCGTTTATACTCTTATTTATAGAGTAAAATTTTTTAATTGATTAAAAAAAATGTATTTCAGAATCACTGTGGTTGATCATCTTTTTTGTATCTCTTATGAATAAAAGTCATGGTCCAAAGCTGTGTTTCAGTCTTCTCAGAAGCAGACACTTATGGCTAAGACACAAAGCAGCAGTGGAAATTCCTGATTCTTTGCACATACGCAATAGGAGCTGTCAGAAAGGCTTTATGCTGTCATACCAGGGATGACAAAGCACCACTCCTGAGGAAACCACCACACGTGGTCTCCTATGGGTAAAGTAATCCTTTTATAGAAGGATCCATAAAGAGCAGAACTAATTGCAAACATCTTCCATTCTAGTTCATGGCATGGCATAAACAGAGGCTGATACGTCTGGTATGCGGGCACAGCAGGAACTGAACACTTCTGTGGACAGTGGCCACAGCAGATGACAGACAACGAGAATGTGCAGGTCCCCATGCTGGATACAGAACAACAAAACAGCTGTCCACTGAAACCCACAGGAATTTCAGACCCATTTTCCACCTCCACTGGAAGAAAGTCACTGCTGGATATTTGGATACAGTGGTGACAAAAGAAAAGCATACTGTCTCTTCATAGTAGGACTAATGACTAAATTCTCCTGGTTTCTGCAAGAACTGCTGCTAAAATTTAAGTTTTAACAACACAGAACACAAACACAGCTTAAGAAGACTTTCTGCACTAATATGGCCTTCTTTGCCCCTCTAAAAGACACTACTCCATCCCCATGCACTGTAGTACTGAGCAATAGAAGTAAGCACAAGTCTTTGCTTTCTTAAGAAGGCTGTGAATATCTCAGTAGATTTGGGGACCAGGAACAAAGCACTGAATTCTTAAAATGTTTCATGTTAGTTCAATGACATTTTCCCAAATAAGTAGCTTTACAAAATTCTCTCAACAGAATTGTGCTGTTTCAGGTTTTAGAAAAAAGTTTTCAAAATTAACCAGCACAACATTAAGAGATAGGCGTTTCACAAGCTTTCGAGAGAAGGAAATACAATCTTTTACGCCAATGAGGGTATCGCCACTTTACAACCACTTGTTGGCAGACAAAGATAAAGTTAGAATTCAGACACACTTATCTGTAAAGAGAGGTTAAAGTGCCTTCTGAACATCCTATTAAACATAACGGCCAAAATTTCATAGGAACAGAACGTACACGTGGCACATGGTTGTGGTCTTGAACATTGTCCATTCATTGAAGAAAGCCTGACGGACCTAAAGCTGCCACCACATGCAGAAAGCTGTGTAGACAAACTCTGTGAAGAACTGGTCCTCCTTCATTTGTAGCATAAATAAAAGGAAGAGGTTTGAGCCCCACATTTGTCTTGTAATGGGAGCTTTGAAGACTAAACAGAGAGAAAAAGAGTGAAGCCAAAGAAAGGAAATAGCAATTTGCTATCCATCTAGTCACAATCAACAGCATGGCTTTGGTAGGCATCTCGGATGGGATGACTTTCATATTTGCTTTTAGGGTAACAGTGACTGGATTTTGTCAGAGAGTTTACCCATGCCTAAGGCCAAGTCTTGAAGAAAATAAGTAAGCACCTGGGGCGTATACTGGCTCTGGAGTGTAAAATTCCTAAAGACAGAACTAGCAAAAGACCTTCTAGTCATAACATCCTTTGGACAGAAAAGGTATTTTTCAATCAAATGAAAGGATTCACAGCAACTCACAAGCAATGCTACAATTTCCTGATAATATGCTTATACAACACAAAAAATATGCAACAAAATGGAATGCTCAAATTGGCATACATCTGCTTAACCTGTAGCTTAGCATCCTTGGTACCTACATCAATTGTGGAGCAATGAAAACGCAAATATCCCATCACAGTAAATTTGCTGAATTATACGAACATCTAAATTTGTTATTCATTTATAGGTATATAATATGAAGATGCAGGAAACCACAAATTAATTTACCCTGTAAGACAGCACAGTGACAACAGAAATGCAGTTATCTGGCAGAGGTACACACCGTTTTATGCGATCTATCAGGCAATGGTCTCTTACCATCTGTCCAGGGGTCTGAAGTGGACATTTTAGTGAAGTCGTCATTAAAACTGTGATTAGGCAAAAAGTTTCAAGCCATGAAAAAGACTGAATTCGTAATACAAAAGGCTTTCCCTAAAACAACCAATTACTCTTTTCTGTGATGTTCTACCCTGAGGTGGAAATATTGATGAGGTTTTCAAATATTTTACGTACACGTTTTTTTTTAGCCATCCACTGTGTTATAATCATCACTGGATTGCTTGAATTAGTTACCAGTAAACAGCTGACCTACAGGAAAATCTCATACAAGATCCCAACACCTTTAATCTCTCCCTTTCCCTAATTTCTCTCAGTTCCAACAGTAAGGGTCAAAAACTGAGATTTGTATTTTCAGAAGGTACGTTAGAAACCTCCCTGTAATAAATACCTCACAAATAACTGCATGATGAAAAGCTCTTAAAGATAAAAAAGGAAACAAAAAACAACCCCAGAACACCCAAAAAAAAAAAAAAAATCAAGCAGCACACAGAAGATCATCTGAACAGTAGGAATACTAACAACACATTTCACTTGTGAATAAATATCAAAGTGCATGATATTCTCATGTATAGCACAAATTCCAGTCACACACAGAAATAAACCTCTATCACTGAAAAAAAAAAATAAATTTCAAATTCTAAATATTTTCAAAGCCTACTAATGAACGGATATAGGCAGGGTCCCCTACAAATATCACCTTGAGTGAAAAAAACTGCTCCACAAGTGGCTGCTTCTATTGCCATTCTTTTTTCTACACAAGCAGAAGGGCATGCTGCAGCTTTCCTTGTCTCTACATCCCTTCCATATGTGACTTAAAGCTGTGCCTACTAAAACAATAAGCCAGTGACATCTTTAATATGAAAAATACACAAAGCATAGTATTTCTTCTGGTCCAATTTTAGTAATCTAAAATTAAGTATCTAGTCTAAGAAAGATATACAGGCACAATGTCACCAAACAGAGTTTGGTGGTGGACTGAAGGGTCTCCCTGGACAAACAGCTTAGGACCCACATTATACAGGATGATTTCCTCCCTAATTCTGAGATAAAATACAATAAATAGCAGCATTAGCTTGGAATTTTGAAAAAAAAAAAAAAAAAGGAAAAATATACACTGTTCATTGTTATCATATATTATTTTCAACAAAACTTAGTTATATGACTACCAAAAATGAATTTGAACTGCCTTGAATTGGAAGTTAGGCAAGTATTTCTTCGACACTTCAAAAAAAGAAGTGGGAAGACAGTTAAAGAAATATGGTATTTTTAAAACGTGTAAAAGTTAGTGGAGCTCATGAAACCTTTGCATTATTCTGGTAATTATGTTTTGTTTCAATGTTACATAAGTAACAATATAATTATTATGTTATAATCCCTTATTAATTGTTCCAAAACATTTATCTGGCACACAGCAATGTCAGCTCATACTGAATTGTTGTGAGCTGATGGTTCTACTTTTAAACACGTGTTTTATGCTTTAGGAGAAGTAGTGCATCCACCATTAAAGAAAAACATGCACACAGAAAAAGGAATTTAAAAAAAAAAAAAAACAAACACATGTTCCTAAGCCCGAAGGGACCTTTCAGCTTTTTAACTTGTTTCACAATGCCTCTTGTATCAACTAGCATTAGGTCTCTTAGAAAAGGAAGCAGACAGTACTCAGTCCCCACCTTTTTTACTCCTCCTCCTAATTTTAGATTTCTTCTGCCTTTTATTTATCCCTGACTCAGGTCTTGGCCTGACCTGATGTAGAAACCACGTAAAAGCACTGACAAATACATTAATTTCCTCTGCAAAGATAAATTACAAAAAGAGAAGAGTATACCCAGCCCAAGGCTAAGAAAAAACAAAAGCAACAAAAAAAACCGCAAACCATCATGTGTCCTTCCACCTTGCCTGCATCACCCCAAATACTTCTACAAATTAAATAACACAAACTTTGCTGTCCTACTGTCATTTGAGAGTATCTTCCCTTCTCTGCTATTTATGAAATCCCTCAAAATCATGAAAATTGAATTATACACACATCACTTACCTACTTTAAAACTGCTCATGAGTGGCTGCTATTGATTTTCTGCTTCAGTGTTTTTTAAAAAAAATATTTCAAAGAAATGTGCATGCGCAGCCTTTGCAGAAAGACAGGAAAAGAGCAGGTAAGATAATTCAGACTCGCCAGTCTTGCTAATAACCTTTATCAGTAACTACCCTGTGGTCAAACTGTATTGCTAAGGTGACAAATTTAGAATCCAAAATCAGAGCTAAAAAAACACCCAGTTGTTTGCCCTAAATTAAACTATGAAAAAGAAAAATACTATATACATTAGGTTTGCAGTAGGAAAGTGACCCAGGTGAAGAACTGACTTTTGTCAAGATTTGCAAGAGCTCCACAAAGCTGTTAAAAAGGGGGGGGGGAATAAATCTGTAAAGCTCAAAGGACTATCTTGACTGTAACAGAATTGACAACAGACTATAATGTACATGAGAAGAACAGATACACTCATAGAGAACAGAAATTAAAGTAATTTTGGTTTCTTGGTGGGTTCTTGAAAGACCATCCTCCTCTATCTGGCTGCTGCTACTTACTTTCTAATATTTGCAAGGTTTGGACAAGTTACCTCACAGAGTCTTCTCTGAAACAAGAATATGAGGATACACGATAGTTAAAGTTACTACTTTTTAGATAAAGAAGGTGTGTGTCACATTGTAAGCGTGCTGTAGGAAAGCATTTCCAGGGTGTACTCAAAGCTCAGAGATCCAAACAAATCAATTCAGTGTAACAAGGTACAGCAGGTTACCTGATCCACTGTAACCACCCATGTGCACACATGCAGCTGCAGTTACCCTGGTTACCTTATCAACAAGGAACAACGACTTTGCCACAGGCTGATGACACGTACACAGGCAACATTAACTACTCCAAAATTCAGGACTTATACGTGCTTCCTGATTGTGTCTGCTTAACAAAACATTCCGTAACACACCAAAACACAGGTATTATTCCATCACCATCTACAGTTTTTCTGTGGGGGAGGCAAGAGGAAAGGAAGGCTGAATCTCACTTTGAAAAACATCTCATGTTTGTGTTGATTTACTTTTCCAGGCTGCAATGTCTTTAACATGTCAGAGGATCCTCAACAAAAGGGAGGATTTCACTTTCTGGCTAATGTCTCCTAAAAGCCTCTGAAAACCATATAACCAACCATTGTAACAGAATGCTGCAGGATTTCTAACATGTTGAGCTTCCTTAACAGCCAAATCATCCATTATATTCCAGCTGCCTTCTCATCATTTTTTCCTCTAGAATAGGATAACATATTGAACTTGCCAAGTGAACAGGAAAACCTACAAACACTTAAACTGTCTTGGAAAAACAAAGACCCACCAAAGAAAGAGTCAAGTAA